TCCTAGGCGATGATCGAGAATTAACCAGCGCCTAGGTTCATCACACGGTTGAGTCATGGCAGCGGAGGCGCACTGAAAAGGAATGCGTTGAACACGATAGCGATGGATGTATTACCTAGGTCGTCGCATGGTGTTGGATTTGGGTGTGGTCGCGTTGGTGGCGAACGAGCGCAAACTTGCGGCTCAAATTCTCTGAAAGGCCGGTAAAGCTTATTTCGCGAGCCCGGGAGTCCCTGCGCATCTCACGGTCCCAACAACAATGCGCCGCGAGAGAAGTCGGAGCGCATGTTTCGGTGTCGCTCGCATCGTCACATGCTAAGGTGTTTGGGTGTGACGGACACGACGATACGCCATGATCATGACGTCGCGCGCGGGTGGTGCGTTCTAATTCTGTTAGGATCTCACCACCTGCCACCACTACGACTATCTCCACTCTCCACAAGGTTCGCGACCTCCAGGTGTCGATAGCGTGGGCCACGTCGTCCCAACACTTCTTTTGTGTATCGCAATGTCTTCGTCACCATCTTCGTAAGACGCACTCGCTATAGCAACGGTCGCTTGCCTCCTGTCGGGCTCAGGCGCGCGCCAGAGTTATGATCATCAGGGGAGACGCGTGCTCTTCCTTACGTCATACCTAGGTACCTCACGATCCACCAGCCCTGCAGGAAGCATTGTTGCGGCTCCAAGACCCTTTGCTCCACTATCACGGCTATCATTACTCAGCGCATCACGTGCACGAGTGCCGGTCCGGGCGGTCCCACGATGTCCCGGTGCCGATTACCTACCATGGATGTGGGGCAGTCGACTCGTTCCCCGCACCTGCCAGCTGCAGCTCAGCCGACACTCTGCGAGATGGCATGGAGAAGTTTGGAGGCGGGGATGTGACAGCCCCACCATAATGGCCATGTCATCTGAGTTTCTTAAAGGATGACATGTGGTTGAGATATACTTCTTCATCATCTGTATGCAGTAGACCAAATCTGTCACAATGCCGAAGATTAATCACGTATGTTCCTCCGTGATGGCTTGCATGTGCATGTCGCTAACACCGATAGGTCGTCATCGTAGGAGCTGGCCCCTCCGGTCTCTTGCTTGGAATTCTTCTAGCGAAGAACCTCAGCATCAAAGTCACCATCCTCGATGCGGACACCAAGATCAACGACAACCCGCGGGCTGCTCACTATGCGCCTTCAGCGGTCTACGACTTCCATCGCGCAGGCATCATAGACGATGTACGTGCTGTCGGGCTGCATCCTAAAGGTGTATGCTGGCGCTTGCAGGATGGGACCTTTCTAGGTGGCATGGGCCGCGATCCAGAAGACTCAAAATACGCAATGGTTGTGCTACCGCTCGATCAATTAGGCCCCCTACTTGTGAAGCATTTTGAAAGCTACCCGAACACCGAGATCAAGTGGGGCCACAAATTGACCGGTGTGGAGCAAGACGACAACAGCGCGACCGCGGTTGTCGAGACCATTGATGGCGAGAAGAAGAAGATTACAGGCGATTATCTAGTTGGTGCTGATGGTGCATCGAGTGGTGTGCGCACAGCATTGTTCGGAAAGGAATATCCCGGAGAGACGTTGAAGGCGCAAATTGTTGCTACCAATGTCTACCTACCCTTCGACGAGCGATTCGACTGGTGGGATTCAAACTTCATCGTCCACCCCACGGATTGGTACATGGCCGCAAAGATCACCAACGACGGCCTCTGGCGAGTGACATACGGCGACTCGGAAGGCCTCTCAAAAGAAGAGCTCGTAAAACGCCAACCCCTCCGCTACGAGCAAATCCTGCCCGGACACCCCAAGCCGAACGAGTACAAACTCAAGAGCATGAGCCCCTACAAGCTCCAACAAAGATGCGCGCCCAGCTTCCGCGTAGGCCGAATTATACTAGTCGCCGACGCAGCGCATCTGTGCAATCCATTGTACGTATACCAGTTTGTGATGAGCGGACCCTACTAACACATCGTCAGCGGCGGCATGGGCCTCACAGGTGGCTTCGCAGACGTAGGCTCCCTCTACGACTGCTTCACCGGCATCCACCTCGACGAACTCGACGACTCCATCCTCGACAAGTACTCTGAAATCCGCATCAAGATCTGGCGCGAAATGATTGACCCCATGTCCCGCGAGAACTTCCACCGCCTCTGGGACCCCGAGCACGAGGAGAAGAGGAGGGAGTTCTTCAAGATGTGTGAGAGGGCGAGTGATGATCCGGTGTGGGGGAAGAGCGTTGCAGAGACTATACATCAGGTTCGACATGATTTCACGCAGTACTTTAAGAGTAAGCAGAACGTGAGTGGGAAGGCGATGGGGGAGCTGGCCACGGCGAATGGGGTTTTGGCGGAGAATAGCGCGGCGGCGTAGTCGTAGGAGGAACGCGACGTTTTCGGGATATAGACTTAGTAGGCATGATGCGGAATACCGTGCAATTATGATATTGCAAGTATCATTACGAAACAGCACATATAGAAAGCTGACTAAAGCTCCCATGACAAGTGATCAGACCGGAAGTAGATCAAGAAGACGTGAACATTGAACGGCTGTCGCCACCATGCGCTAATTCCACGCAACATCCACCCGTAACCTACAAGCCCTCCTCAAACACCCGCCGTGACCCCGCTATACCCTCCACACAGGTACAAATCGCGTCCTTCCGACCAGACTCACCACACTTCCCACAAGCCGCCCTCCACTGCGCCTCCACAACATCTTCCGGAAACTCATGCAGGATCGAGAAACGCACATTATGCGCAAACGGTACAGGCCATTTAAGAATCGGCAACGTGTGCATGTGGCACCCGCCCACCGCTCCAGGCCGATCAGGGAACTTTTCGTGGCGCAGCAGACTCCACATGCGGGTTTCTCTGAGGTAGTCTTTCGGTTTGATATGGTCCATTTTGAAGCAGACGAAGCGGTCCATGTTGAAGCGGAGAATGATGGAGATGTTGTCGTGGAGGGAGAATTTCCAGGTATACCAGGCGAGAATTTCGCGAGTTCGGTCTATGCTTACTACGCTTGATCTTCTGACTCTGTCCGTAGACATATGAACGGTCATTTTGCGCAGGCGATTCCGGTTGATGTGACTGCACTCGTCGTAGAAGTCCTTGAATATCCTCTCATACGATTTATCGAGCCAGCGACTATTTCCGTGCGGTATAAGAGAGAAGGAAATATCGTTCAAGCTCAGCAAGAGCCCACACGTTTCAGCACGAGTCTGATGGCAGACTAAACGAAGAGGGTTGCAATCACCGGGTTTGAAGATAGCGCCGTCGTGGTCCTCGGCAGGTCGCTCACTGTACTGGAAAGGCTGGAGACTCGGCGACCATCGGAAATGCCCGGGGCCATGTCGGGTGGGTTCTGAAGTCGCGACAAGGCCATCCTCATATGTCAAGGCGTATGTGTGGATGATGTCTCGTATTTCCCGAGGTAGTTTAAGATAGTGGCATACGCCGCTGGGGTCTGGTGTATCGGCTGGGTGGCTTCGGAATTGCAGAGGCTGCTCGTGTCTTGAAGTCATAGTTGTGGTGTGCGTTCGTCGGGTGGGTAGTTGAGACTAGTGGAGCAGTCTTGTGTGGTTGTAGAAATACAGCGGTGGAGCAGAACCCCATTTGTACGCTCGGTGGCCAAGCTACAAGTTTCACGCACCGAGATCATGATCTTTGACGGTTTGGCAGTCATTCACAGTAGCGGTGATTTCGGGAGTGGCAACAGTCAAGGCTCCTACGCCGATCACTCCTCTCGAGAGATAAGAACCCGTCTGTCCGCTTCGGTCTTACCAGCGCGCACTCTCAACCTCCGACTCTTGACCATCACCATGGGCGGTTACATCTCCTCAGTGGCATGGCCAACAAGGATCCCCCCCTCGCCCTCACCAACGGGTCCCTCACAGCTTCTTGATCTACCAGCAGAGCTACGCATCATGATATATGAATACGCTCTCTACTACGAAGATGGGCTGTCAATGGTGCCTTTGACACGACGTTCCACAAGTGCCATCACACTCCGCCCAAGAAACGCCGCTGATGGCCGCATCACAAACCCCCTCAAACTCATTTGTCACCAAGTCCGCGCAGAGACGCAAAAGCTCCCTTTGAAACTCAACATAGTCCACGTCGATGACAACGCTCAGCGACTAATGTATCACCAAAAAATAATGTGTCGCTTCTTCAGGGGTCTGGACTATGACGTGTATCGCCTTGGACACATTCGAAGACTGTCCATTCAGGTTCCACATCACAGCAAGTTGGACGGTATGCCATCGGTCAGGATTTACTGGCCGTGCCAAAATAGGTTTCAGAGTTCCCTGAATGCATGGGTAGCGTATAGCAGAAGCCATCCGTTGTGTGAGGTTCAGTGGGCGTACGACCTACGATCAAGTGAGGCGCATCGGCAGGGGCTGGTGTTGATGTGGATGGCAGCTGTGGAAATCGTCATTACTGGCGAATCTCTTCTTACGCTATCTGAGAGAGAGAAAGTGTTTTGGATTCCAAGCGCTCAGACTTTCTTGGGAGATTGTCGAGACGAACACACCGGTGCAGTCGCGTTGCCGACCAACTTTCGAATACTTATCAATGCGCCGTTTCTCGAGGACCATGTCTTGGCGAGATTACGGCAACAAAGGGAAACAAGTTCATTGACTGATCTCCAAGTTCAGGGGATGGTCGAACAAGTCAAAATAGTCTATGAGCAGGGAATCCGGGGACGCGAAACAGCAGCGATGCGCGAAGCAAAAGACTGACGACTATTTGGTGAGGAACTCCAGTAGCGCGACGAATGTTCTGGTAGGAGGGGACATAGTTGCAAAGGGCCTGGAGCAGATAGTCAACATGTCCAGATAAGAAGGGCGCAGCGCTCGAACAGAATTACCATTGACATAAGCGCCATATCATTAGCTCGACCATTCCTTGTCTGCTCTAATTGAGATTGATAGTCGTGGTACTCTCAATGCCTAGAGCTGCGACGGCGTAGAGAGATTCGCGTTACTCATACTCTTCATGCGTACAACCGCCCCGGAATAGGCATCTCAACCGGGAAGCTCGTAAAACAGCAATGGCCGATCGGCTCCTCCCCACCCTCGCCCACTTTACCATGTGTAACAGCACCCCACTGTACCGGTAAAAGACTGGCGCTCACATCTTCTGGCGGCGCATGACACGCCGCGCTAATAGCAGCAGAACAGCTACTAGCCAGAGGTATACCAGCTGGATACCAGAACCTGCTGATGACGAGACCGCCAGCTGCGATGGTGAAACCAACGACCGTGGTCAGGATGATAGCGACAGGGGAATAGCCACAAGTTGAGACTTCGCTAGCGGCTTTGCGCGTGTGCATGTCTGTGATGGAGATTTGTACTTTGAATATGCTTTGTGACGCGAGCCAGTGGAAGAGACCTGACATGATGGTCATGGGAACAGCGTAGCGGAAGGGTACGTTGAGCCAGTACGAGTCGCGTTGGAAGCCAGTGGGCGATGTAACGCGGAGTGATTTCCGTGTTTTGACGTAGCTTGCCCACTCCGCTGCGACGAACATGTTTGTGTAGAGAGCATTTAGCGCGATGTACAAGTATGAGAGGACTAGTTGGGGTGTATTCGCCAAAAGCACGCCCGGAATTAGTGATGTGCTGAAGTCCAGGAGATTGTTGCCGTTGACTGTCGCAAACCCTGTCTTCCACAGTTTTACAGGGTCTTTGGGCATGCCTTCCAAGGAAAGTGCTATGCAGAGTCCACCGAGCCCAGCAATGATGGTGTATCTGCAGAGGTGAGTGAATGACCGCGAAGGGCTTGCATACGACTTACGCAGAGTACGTCTGCCACCATCGCATGGTGCTCGGAGCTCTAGCCCACCTCCTTCTTCTCATCTTGAATCTCGCGGGCTCAGTGTCGAGTGCCACTTTCGGAATGCTAGCGTATTCGTTCCAGTTCCATCGGAGACCGACGTCTCGTTTGGTGTGCAGGCAACGACCGTAGGTTTCGGGATCCGGATCTTCGAGAAATGCCGCGATCGCATCTCCTATGGTTACAAGCGCGCCATGATCCCAGTACAGAAAAAGCAACAGTATCATACAAGCCGCTTTGACAAGGTTGGCCACAATAACTGCTGTGGCGATGGTAAAACTGAATTGCAGCTTGCAAAACTCTTCGACTTGTTCGATAGTGCAGTAGGCCACGGGTACTTCGAATGGCTGCCACGCTGATCGATTGCTTGGAATTGCGGTCTCATCGTTAGGGTCGCCTGTGTCAAGTCTAGTCAATACACCATCTTCGCAGGTGGCGAATACTGGGCTTACTCACACTTTTCTGGAGGATGAGGAAGACAGCGCCACCCGTTGGACGGATAAATAGATGGCGTACTTATGAACGGGAGATGTTGATTTGGAGCTTCGGTAACATATGTATCGTTCTTGCGGTCCTCTTCTATCGTCTCTGGTGTTCTAGGAACCCATTCGAAAAAGCCGTTCCGATAACGTCGACCGACCCAGGCAGTAGCGTTCCGCAGAACCGTTGGGCTTGCTTGGATCAAGTACAAATTCCCAACTGCTGAGACATACTGGGTACCGTATGTTTCAAGACATTCGGATGTGCTGACGTTCCTGTATTTGGGCATCGAGCTGCCATTCCTCAATGCGACCGCATCAGAGGGGTCGAATCTATATTGGCCACTAATTGTTGAGGAGATCACTTCTGTTGCGTTCGTGCTGATATCCAGAAAGCCCGAGGTGTCGTAAACGTCTTGCGTAGACATCACCCAGTCAGGCGTCGTCGGTATGACAGCATACTCATTTGCCTGCAGGTTTGTGAAGACAACGGAGTTGAACAACAAATGTAGCGGTACAGACGAGAGAAACAACAAAATCCACAACACAGAGCGATCCCTTCCAACATGCCATAGGTTGCGGAGGTTAGGAACGCCGATGTGCAGCCAGTTTCGCCGTGCGTGCGCACGCCCCAGCTCTTCTCGATTCGGGGCGGCAAGGATCTGTTGGCAGTAGTTCGAGCTGCACAGTAATAAGGTACTGAGTACATTCACGACCAGGTGGACGTAGACGTTCACTTCTCTAACAGTAGAGCAGCTGCCTTGGAATAATGTCCCGACGCCATTCACATGCTCGTAATCGGGGTTCTTCCAGACCCAGATTGTGACCGCGAGGTTCATGCTGAACACCAAGATGGCGCAGATAGCCGATGCGAGCGCACCCATGCGCCATCCTGTAAAGAAGCGCTTCTTCGTAGGGACGGGACAGTCAGGCTCCAGAGTTCTTGCCAGCAGGAGAAAGTCGTCATCGTGGTATATCCTGTCGTTGAGCAGCTCGTAGGTAGGAGGCTTCGAGTTCGATATATCCGATTCGCCTTGGATTGTAGAGTTCTCGTACTGCTTGGCATCCGTGGATGCGGCCCTATTGCCATCTTGTCAGCCTGTACTACTCGTTGTCACACAAAGTGGACTCGTACCTTGGGGACCTTCCTGCCCTGCGTGCATATCCGGTCGGATCTTCTTGACCTTGCAGCTGCTTGTACATGCTGTCTAAGCGCCGTACGACCGTCGCGTGTAGCCCCAGAGGCGAAGGGTCTCAGAAAGCATGGGGAGTGCGGCATCTTGTTGGGGGCCGACACAGCCTCACTGCATCTTGATTCTCAACTCAACGGTGACGTTCCAAGGCTTGAGCTGGCGTTTGGATACCATTGTTGGTGGCGCGAGTTGCATATGCATGTAGCGTTGTGAGCTTGGCGTCACAATACATGACTATCTGCAGGTGACTGGAGGCTTTTGAGACGCGTTTGACGCGTGGTCGTGCAGCGAATGCGCGAACGTTACGCGTGAGTAACCTCTCATGTCGAGAGCGTTGGAATCGAGTTGCGTATACGGCATACGTTCTGTCGGATTGGTACTCTTTCCATCGAGTGCGCATGCATAGCGACTTCGATTTGTGATGGTGATGGTGGCTGAAGCAGGAAGCGTGCAGCGAGAGTGCGGCGTAGCTTCCCGAGGTCGCGACATGTGACGTCATGCCCAGACGGGCTCGCGCACCATGCTAATAATGGCTACGCGCTTCGTCGCTTTCGCGAAGAAACTTCCGATAGTTATTAATAGCGAATCTGCTGGGCAAGAAGGCAGTAATACCAGAGGAGCAGATATAAAGCCTGTGTGATGTGTGTGGGAGCAGCTGGCTGAAAGATAGGAAGCCACATGGCTCGGCATGAGCGCCTGGGCGTTGGCCCCCAACCTTCACTTTGTTCGTTCAGCCTGGTTGTCAACATGGCCATATTCGCAAGCCTGAATACCCATTGCAGCATCGCATGGAGCCATACGTCTACAAGAGCTTTGGTGGCAGTACCGCTTCGCCGCCTACACAGATACGAGTACTTCACCTTCTGCCAGGCAACAAGGAAGATGATGTACTTTGCAGTCTGCGCCACATAGCGATTAACCAGCGTGTTTCATATGAAGCGCTATCATACACATGGGGATTACCAGATCGATGCCATCGTGTCGAGTGCGACGGCTTCTATCTTCGCGTCACCAGCACCCTCCAGGAAGCCCTCCGAGTCATGCGCTATCCGGATAAGAGACGTACGCTTTGGATTGACCAGCTTTGTATCAACCAAGAAGACATTCAAGAGCGCAACAGTCAGGTGACGATAATGCACTTAGTCTACAAGCATGCGACGAGGACTGTTGTCTTCCTGGGCTCAGTGGAGGGGCCTGAACAACCCGAGACAGCTCTAAGTACCCGGAAACTCTTTGCTGAACTACTGAAAGCTTCTGACTCCAGAGTCGGCGATACCATGAAAGAATGTCAGGTCTTGTTCGCTCATCCGTGGTTTCGAAGAGTCTGGATTTTGCAAGAGATCAGTATGTCCAACACGCTGAAGATCATCGTTTACTACAAGGGCAACGAGATGACATGGGACAAGTTATCCAGAACTGCCAGTTGGTTTGGTTCATATTCTCCTGGGCAAAAGTTCAGCTTCTTCCAATTCCCGCCCTCCGTTCGCCAACACGAGATGATCGTAACAACCTGGACGGCTATGGATATCTCAGGCCCTTCCTCTTTCTCGTGTTTGGATCGATACGGGGCGCTCACAAACAAATACAACGAGTGGCTGTACGCTCGTTTCTTCCTGTGGCTGGAGCCGCGGCTAACCGAGGTTCTTCAAGACAGCCGCTTCTGTCTGGCTACTGATCCTCGTGACAAGATCTATTCATTACTGAACTTGCTGAGTTCAAGTACTGCGCAGGCTGAGTTTGCGTGGCTGCTAAATGTCGACTACACACTTCCTGTGACTGAAGTCTATCTAAGAGCAGCGCGCTACAGTATCGAGACCGAACGCTCCTTGGAGATCCTTTGCTACAAGAACGCGGCACCGAACATACTCGACTTGCCTTCTTGGGTACCCGACTGGACCGCGCAACGACTGTTTCCAATGCAACGCATATCCAATCCTCTGCACTACAGATCCCAGTTTCACAATAACATATGGCCTGACAGATCATGGATGCCGCCATTCCGAAAGACTAGTAATCAGGCTCCAATAGCCACTTTTAGTGCCGATGGGAGAATAATCACCCTGAGAGGATACAAGCTAGACACGATCGAAACCACCAGCTCTATCTGGGACACCGCGCTACACATTCCTGACGCTACGCGCTTCGACGAGTGGGCATCTCTATACACTGGCGGGTCAGCTTCAGAGATCACCGCCTTGCCCTTTCGTCGCGAACGATGGCCCAAAGGTGTACGAATACATCCATACACCATTGGCGATTTCTGGTTGAGAGTTGGACGCCACCCGCGTTTGAAATCGACAGACATCCTCAAGCCATTTTCGACGAATCATTGCGCGCAAGAGAGGTGGCGACGTAGCCCGTATCATTGTTATAGCCGAGCTCGAGCATTCGTTTTCTCTAGATAAGGAAATTCGTTATTTCTGTGGTCTAAGGACTGGCTTGCAACGACAGTACCTTACGCATCGATTGGTAGACGCGTCGCAACTACGCGGACTGGATACTTCTTACTCGTACCTCCGGACACAAAGCAAGGAGATGCGGTGTATTTTCTCGAAGGTGGCGGGAGTATCGGGTACGTGCTCAGATTGAATGCTAATGGGCCTGAATACGAATTCATCGGAGCTGCGTACGTGCATGGCTTCTATGGTATTCAGAATTGCTGGCAAGGCATGGAAAGAGAGACTGTGCTGCTGAAGTGATGAGTCCGATGAGACATTCCATACATTCACACGAGCTTTAATGCCACGTGATCCAGAAAAGGAAAGCCTATGAGGCGTTCACAGCCGAAATAGGTGGCACTGCACACAACGCGAAGCTTGAGACGCGATAGATTGAATGTTAGATAGGATTCATCAACATCATATCACCACTCATCTAGACCGAGCCCCTCTTAACCCTTTTAACAGCACTAGCACTCGGCGTACTAGTCGGCGGCAACGGAACAAACTCCTCCGTATGCGTACTCTCCGCCGTCCCATTCGTGCTATAATCATCCGTAACAACCTGACTCCCATCCGCAATAACAACATGATCCAGCACCCTCTTGAAATGCTCAAGACTAGCCACAGGCTGGTAGTACGGCACCTCGTGCCCAGCCTCATAGATCCTAGTAAACGAAAAGTTACCATACTCGCGCACCTCACCATACTCAACGCCATCAACAAGGAAAGGCGTGTAGCCCGCAGCGCGGAAAGCTTCAGAGTCTGTGTAGTTGACAGCGAGGGAGACGGCTTCGCCGCCGAACCAGTTGCAGATGTAGTCTGCGTCGCCGTAGAGGAGGGCGACGCGCACGCCGTAGCTGAGGATCTCCTCGAGGTCTTCGAGGAAGTTGGGGAAGACGAAGTCGCCCGTGGTGGAGAAGCCGTAGGACACGTTGGGCGCGTTGGTGCTCGTGTAGTTGATGTTTACGCCGATGGCTTCTTGCGTGGAGGCCATGTTGAGGAAGTCTTCGAAGTAGTCGGGGGGCGTGGGGTCGTCGTAGGGGTGGCGGATGTCGTAGACGCCGCGGCCGCCGAAGGCGTAGTACGGCTCTTCGACGAGGGACCGGCAGAGGTTGGTGGCTTCCGCGCAGGTGAGGTAGCCGGCTTCGGTGGTGCGGTCGGATTGCTTGCAGTATTCGATTTGGTCGTGGCAGCCTTCGGGCATGTAGTAGGCGTTCTTCATGAAGGTGTAGACGGTGTCGTTGACGGCCTTGATGCCGTAGGTGTTGTTGACGGCAAATTCGGGGTAGTAGGGCGCCTGGATCTGCTCGTCGATTATACCGTTAATGACACCGAGAGTGTCCATCTCGACTTCGACACCGGCACATGAGCCGTTCTTGATCTTCTGGTTCTGTTGGTAGAAGTAGTTGTAGAAGCCTGGGCCGTAGTGACCTCCGTAACTGGCGACATTGTCAGCATTGAGTTCATATCTGGATAATCACATGACCTACCTCTCAGTCCAAAGGTTGAAAGTGAAGTTGGTGATATCGGGGTCGAGCTGCGGGCTCAGCTCCAAGAAAGCCTGAAGAATGTGCCATGCACCAATGGCTGCAGCATCGGTGGTGTTTGCAGTGTCTGGGTCGACGAGCGAGTAGCGGCCATCCTCATCTGTCTCGGTGGTTTCGTAGGAAAAGCCGACACCCACGGGCTGTGAAAGGTACAGCATGTTGCTGCGCTCATTCCACGAGTAAGGGTTTAGCTGTGTCTTCAAGTCCTCGGTAACGTTGCAAGGGCCATGTTCCTGGAACAGACCAATGAGAGAGTCACTTCCGGGTCCTCCGTTCAACCACAAGGTCTGACAATATGATTAGTACACATTGCAGTAACGCTTCACGAACACAGCACTTACCAATGGCTTCTCGGACGGGTTCTCGCGAGCTTCAAAGAACCAGAAGAACATGTTCGTCGTCGGGTTGAGGCTGATGTAACCAGCATAGTCGTCGACACCCTCGGTGGTCTCGCACACACCCGCCTTGCCAGGCTGCTTGTACGTGATCTTAGCACCAGCAGCAGACGTAATGGTCGTGACGCCGGTAGGGTCAGCGGGCACTTGGCGTTCCTTGATGAACGGCGCGCGAGCATTGGCTAGCGAAGCAGCGGCCAGAACGGCGGCGAGTTGAGCGAAGCGCGCCATGGTGGGAAGCTTGTCGGGAAGAAGAGCAACCAAGACTTCAGCGAATGCTTGCCCAGCAAAGTAGTGTCTTCCACCTCTTTATATACACGGCCTTACTACGAAGCCAAGCGGCATTGCGTGCACCGGCTCACCTAGCTACGCATGCTTCTCGCGTATTTCAGCGCTGGGTCAACGTCAGACTACATGGTCGTATGCTGCGAGCCGCGGGTTGGGGCACAGAAAAGTAGTCTAGATCAGGCAACTGCGGACGTTCTGTGCAATTATTGGCCGGATAACGTGTCTCTGTAGATCCTCCGGCTGTGTGCTGGGAGCAGTGTTCAGGAAGTTCGGCTAGGATGTACCGGCACGTCCCTGGCGGGGGGTAAAGCGTGATGTGCTGTTTCACCTGCGCGACCA